CAAGCCAGCGCCTTGCTGTGCTGGTTCGACAGGCTTGTTCCTCTTGCCCATTTGAGGCACCGACTAGACGTATGGTTTGGAAGCAAGTATCATTAAAAAGTAAGGAGACTGACCATGTACGGGTTGTCCTTGACGGCAAGCTTTGTCTGTGCCTCTGCCACACGGCGCTTGGCCTCTGCGACCTTGCGAGCGAGGTCTTCGGTGTTCTGAAGCGGCGTGGCTGGAGCTGGTGAGGGGTTCTCTGTCTTGACTGGTAGAGCCTTTGCGAGACCTGATATCCCGCCTTTCATGGCTGCAACCTTTGCCGCAATCTCTGCTCGTTTCTGCGCGATGAGAGCATCTCCGGATAGCTGTTGATTGATAAATGAGTGATTGAACGAGCTTGAGAAAGATATGCACTGACGACTGCTGGGGTGTTGCTCCCATTAGAGTGAGTCTGTAAGGAATAAAGGGTTATAGAGACATGTGAGAACGATGTAGTAGGTGAATTCACCTTGAAGAAAAGAAAGTTAGACTCACAAAATCACTAGAAATGAGACATGAGCTGGTTAAACAAGGGCGCTAGTAGGATTGACTGACCTTTTTTGTTTTTTCGTTAATGGAGACTCCCCATTGCCGTCGAATGCTCGCTTGCTCATCGTTTGTGGTGGCAAGCAGAAGCAGCGCGCTCAGTTCAATATCACTTGACACAATTTAACCCCTCTAAGGGGGGTTGTGTCAAGAATTAGAATTCGTGTGCAGGATTTTGTGTCTGGTACAGCGGGCTAGAGATATTTAAGACGGGTTTTAACGTTGTCCAGAATGCAAAGAACATTTTTGAAATTTAAACTGACATAAATATGGGTACATTACTTCAAACTTTGTCAGTATTTTGTGCATAATCCAAAATATTACAGCTGTTTGCAAAAAGGTTGACAGTAGCAACATTTTGAGAAATAACACGCGCATATACTTGCAAACGCTTGACGCAATGTATGCCTCCCGTTTCGCGCCAGAGCTTGAGGATCCGCCAGAACGCGCATTCTGAATCTCCGACGCAAGCAAGAATGTCTTCGAGTGCAAGGTGTTGATGCTTGTGAAGATTAATTGCGGCTAGTCGTGACTGATTTTCCGATACATGATGGTCAATTTGTGATGTATGTATGTGGCTATTAATCTATTATTTGTTTGTTTTGTTCTTTTCTCAAAATGTCGCTACTGTCAACCTTTTTGCAAACAGCTGTAAGCTTTGGCAGTGACCATACTTCACCGAGAATAAGAGATATACTATTGGTTACCACTCGCTCGTGCAGTCCCACATTTCGTGCATCCTCCAAAACCACACTTTTCCTACTACAAATCTTCAAACTACTATGTTCATTTGAAATAATAATACACAAGAACATCTTACAAGCTTAGACAGATGCATTTGGACAAGAAACAAGAGAGATAAATGTTTGCTTGTGACAAAGGCTTTTATCACTTCCATTGTTACCACCTGGGTTGCCCAATAAGTCAGCCTTACTATACTGGGTGATCACGCACCTCACCCAGTATAATAAGGCTTAGTTACCTAAATACCCAACACCAGCATTAAACCTTGCCCTAAATATTGTCCAAGTACTTCAAGGCATTACCGTACATTAGTAATTGCTGTTATTTTATTTTCTCACCCTAAAGCGGTAATTGCAGAGCACTACCCTGCAGTATATCAGTGCTGAAACAAAGGCAGAAGGCAGAATCTTCAGAACAGTGGGTGAAATTTTGGCAGAAGTCCCCACACTATGAGCACACCACCAGCATTGACCCCAATATCCTCAAGGACACATTCATTTCCCTAGCCCAATCACTCCTGAAATGTCATATTAGCATGCTCCTATGGTTCTGTACTAGACACATCTCTCTAAATCAGCGCCTATATCATATCAGAAGGAGCCCCACACCTGACTGCCCTTATTGTGAAGGTACAGAAGAGACCATGCTCCACTATCTACTTTCTTACCCCCATTACACTCAAGCTCAACACATCCTCACAACAACTCTTGGCTGCCATGCTTTTTCACTACCATATCTGCTCTCAAGTCCTAAAGCAAGCGCTCCGCTCTTCCATTATATCAATAGCACAGGCCATCTACATGCTACCTTCAGTGATGTTCCTCCCACATCTAGCAAAGACAAATGATGATTAGATTGCACTCAGGTAGATCCCATGAAGAGCAAGTTCACATACTGGATGGTGCAGGCCACTGTCTCATCCTATCACACTCATTGACAAAGGAAGCTGGACCCAAGTGGAGGTTCAAATGAAAGACTAGAATGGCATTGAAACAGAGGTTGAGGAAGGATTATTTAATTTCAATGCAGGATGAGACACTTGGAGGACCTTGCCAGAACCAGTCAACAGGGTGATGTCCACCCAATCAGCCCACTCATACGCACCCTCAAAACACCCCTCTCATCCTCCTTTACTTTTCAGCACTGCACTCTATCATTCCTATCATACCCAATTGCTTAGCAACTAAAGTACTTGTATCATCCTTAACACATGCCAGGGACCACCACACTACAAACTGCACAGCAATGGCTCTGTGAATTGGAAGACTTGTGCATCTAAAACGGCCAGCAGGAATGGTGGACTGATGGGGGTTTTCCTCCATCAGGGCATTTGTGAAGTTGGAGACATGGTGGGAGACACAGGTGTCTCCCTTTCCTAGATAGCAATGTCCTACACAGGGTACTTCACCCCAAATGGACAGAAATTGGATACAAATAAAATAAAAAGCCAAATATACAACACAGCAAAGAGATACACCTTCTGTTTGACCAGCTTGAACATCACCTTGGCTTTTCTCATATCCTGTACCTGAGTACAGAGTTCTGTATAGTCATCCTCATGGTTGAGAGAGACATCCTTGTTTTGAGAACAATATACAGTGTATGTGAAAGTCAGTGAGTCCAATCCTTCAAGCTCAGAGCCAGCATAGAGCCAAGAAGTGCCAAGCAAGTCACATTGTCCTGCATGATTTGGGAATCATGCAGAACATGTATATGACATATTATCCCACGTTTCCATAGTCTGTTAGCTTAGTTCTCAGACTACACAAAATGTACTTTGAGTACAGACTCAAGTGCAATATTTCACTTTGCATGCTCCAATCATGCAAAAATATGGTGTGTTGAAGAAAAGTCAAATATGACAAAGAAATCATATATTGACCTAGTCAAAGTTGATAGTCATACAAAAGCTTAGGTTATTGCCTATCATTTGGCTTATTTACTTTGACTAGAAATAACCAAGGAGAAAAGATAAAAGCCTACCAAAACCCCATCTAAAAAGCCAGTGTTTTGATTTGTTCTGTCTTATGATTTATTCTACTTTATTTTCTTCATATTTTTCTTTCATTTCTTTACCTACTTGATTCTTTGACCTCCCAGAGACTCCACAAAATGTACCTGCAGGGTATGATGTCATGATGATGTCATATAGCTCCACAGAAATTTCTGGAATATTCTGTTGGATACTATGAAGCCATCTATGATGTCATAGTGATGTCATTGGATGCTAGAATGTTCTGCTCCACTTTGCTCCACAATGAGGCCATTTATGATGCAACTCTGATGTCATTTCTCTTTCCAACCTTATTTCTTGGTACTATACAGTTTCTCCCATCTCATGTATTTAAGGAGAGCACTTCTCCACCCATAAAAAATAAGAATCTCTTTTATCATTTAAAAGAACCTCCACTTCTTCCACTTTCTCTGACATTGACACTCTTTGTGTTAGCCAGGAAGTGCAGACCAAGTACATTTGGTTTACTTGCTCTGAGATCATTTATTCTTTTCTTGACTGTACCTGTGCTGTCTAGTGTGCATCTGACATATAGTTTCAGAGGACTATAAGTACCAAGTCAAGCCATATTATCTGTGCCTTGCAGATTCTTTTGTTGGAATATTTGCTCTTGTATCATATCATCTTCCTTGGATCAAACCCTTTGCATTTAGGCAGGGAAATCCAATTAGCTTCTACTCAGTTCCCTTTGATAAGTCCTTTTGTATATCAAGGCAGGGAAATATCCAGCATTATTAGTATGCACCTATTCTTTATTATCTGTCTAGTCAAACATAGGACTACAGAGACTCACTTACAAAATCTATTCTATTTGTCTAGTCAAACACAAGACTAGATAAAGTTTTATCTACATACTCTACATTATCTGTCTTGCTGGATAAAGCTAGGCTTGTATTGTAGAACCCCTATTTACAACCAGGTAGAATAAAACCACCAGGCTGTATAGCAGGTAATCTCCCATGAATGTCACATTATCTACCATGAAAGAAGAAAAGTTGTAGACCACAAACTTGAAGTTGTTGGCAGCATTCAGTCTTATCAAAAGTGTAATTGTGGTGTCATTGCCTTTTGACCACTTTTATATAAGACACCTCAAGTAAGAAGACAACATCATTTGATAGTATTGAGAACTTTGGTTATCATGTCTGTCATGGACATATCTTCATGGACATAGACTATCTTTGTGGTTGTTGTTGGCTTTGCATTCTTTTGATGCTTGGGGTCAAATGACTGAAGAGGTATGAAGAGGATGCTGAATTTCATGCCCTTGTTGTCATTGTAAAGGCTTGGCCCCCCTGTGCTTCATGGTAAGCACTGAGCAGTGTCCTAGATATTGTACATACATCTATCATTGAGGGCCAACTCTGCTTTGGGGTTGTTGTTATTGTTGTTGTTCAGCATTATCATAAATATGTAGAGACATGCAAATGGTAGTCATATTGACACATCAAATGTAAGTCCAACAGAATAACAAAGTGTTTTCTTTTTTTGGAATCATCATTATTTATGAAAATTACTATAAATATATTGCCTGATCATTGCCCATCCTTTGCCCACTGACCTGCTGCAAGAACACAAAAAATTGAATATATTTACACACAGACTGAAACCTATGACAGTACTGTAAAGTCGAGTCAGGAGGAATATCAATAGTAGTGTTGGCTAGGAAACTTCAGTTGCAAGATAAGGATAGAATCACTGCATGACAGTCAGAAACCCTCCATTGCACAAAGTGACTGACAACCCAGGACACCTTGGCATTTTCAAGGCAATTTTCAAGGTCCATCAAATACAATTTTGCCAGAAAATCAGGATACATTGAGAAGGGATTGACAGTATGGTAGTGATTGTCATATCCTGTATGCCAGACATAGATCCCATAATATTCCCACACTTTCTGGACCTACATCCAGACCCCATATCCAACTCATTCCCAGATCCCCTTCCACTGTGTGCTTCACACCTCAGCAGGATTAGCTCCACTATGGAATTACCCCTGAGCTCTGGACCTCCAGATCCTCACTACTAGCCTGATCAATACACCCCTATCCTGTCCACCCTATGCACGTTCCATCCAGCAAGACATCTGGACTTTACCTCCTCTTGGATTCTGGACTACATCCACCACCTCATATATCTCAGTCCTCTTTCCACCTTGCCTTCCAGATCCCCAGGTCTCTGGACCTATTCCCACCCTCTGTCCAAGATCCTGCACCTATCCCCATTTAGGCATCTCCCCCTTTCTGGTTCTTGGTTATTTCTGTTTCCATCTTGCTGATTGATCCTTGTACTAGTTTCATCTCTATGTTCATTTACTTATGTTCTGTCTTACTTACTAATATGTTTCCGCATGCTCATACATAGCCTTACTCCATTGCTTACTGATCCTCTTGGATATCCTCTAGTATATAACCCCTGTACAACTCCAGTAGAGTCCTCAGTCTGAATATCACCTTAGACTTGCCCAATCTTCTTCTGGACTTCAGTCCATCTGAGTTTGTCCTTTTCCATAAGGCCTAGGGATGGATTCCCTAGGCCAGAATTCCAGACCTTCGGATTTGTCCCCTATGTCTCTATCCCAAGTCTAGGGATTGCTTCCCTAGGCTAGAGTCTTGCCTTTCCAGCACTTACCCTCTCTCTGGACATTGGTCCACTTCCTGTCCCTCCGACTCTACCTAAGGGTAGTCTACCTCTGTTTGCTTCTACATTGGACTTTGTCCGATGTAGCCCCTATTCCTTCTGGACCTCCAGATGTCTTGTCCTTCAGATGTTCCACCTTTCATACCTTCAGACATTCCATTCTTCAGATGTTCCACCTTCCATACCTTCAGATGTCCTGTCCTGTGTACCTCTGGACCTTCAGTCCTCCTGTCCTCCATACTTCTGGACCTCTGGACATCCTGTCCTCCTGTCCTCTGGACCTCCTACCCTTCCATCCTGTTTCCTGTAGAAGTATTACCTTGCAGTGGGAACTCTCCTGAGCACTTCCTGCATTCCTCCGGACTTCATCGGACCATTATTGGACTTTCTCTGAAATGAAGGACACATACTCAGGTAAGGGGCACAGCATACAAGCTGAGGCCAAGCCCCTCTGAGTCAGTCTCTCTCTTGAGCATGGTTCTTAACAGTGATGATCTAGTGGGAGATGTCATTGTATAGTAAAAAATAATTCTCCTGTTAGCATGCTACAGATATATTTGATACTAGCATGGACAGGGGTTAATGACCAATCTCCATGAGGATAGATGAAAATATGGCTGTTGCCCAAGTGCATAGACACTTTGCTGTAGATAACACTGTTGAACTCAAGTATAGCACATAATACTGCTGTTCATTGTCTGATGAGGGTATACAGGTCTTCAGGCACCACAGTAGTTGCTGCACAATTGGCAACCTGAATGGCATCATTCATGGGATCTTCGACAAGCTCATGGATAGGATTTGTAGCATTCTTGTTCAACACTCAATCAAACAAGACCCCACACTCTTGAATAGCAGGTGGACAGTCTGGTCAGGCAAGCCAACAGTGAAATCTTGCAGCCTTGATATATGAAAGAAGCATCATGTTTTCAAGCTCCCCTAAAAGAATATAAGTCCAACTTTCATGTTTGTGTTTTGATGAGGACATACCAAATTTATGATTGACAGGAATGCATTGTATGATTCCAATCAGACGTTTGAAAGGAAAACACCACCATGAGTGGGCAGGCCTGAATAGCAATAGATAGTCATATATGTGGAAAGATGCATAGTGATTCAGTCACAGAGAGAAGGTGGGATGAATTTCCTGCAACTTCCTGACATAAGTGGTGATATGTGAGTGATAAGCTTGAGCCCTTCTTGCCATCATTGTTTGTGCACAAGCAAGATATACTGCACAGACTAGTTCCATAGTGTGATTGACCATAGTTCTGAGATGAACAGCAAGTTTGTCAGAAGAATGCGAGGGTACCAGCTCCCCACAAGCTCACAAGGGCGATGGGGAGGTAAATCATGATAAGGGATTGTCACTTATCAGCCTTAATTGTCCCAGCAGATGCCTCACCAAAATTCTTGGGAACTGAACCAAGCCAAGTTGGGGTGGTGTTAAGAACCATGTTGCTCAAAGGAGAGAGACTGACTCAGAGGGGCTTGGCCTCAGCTTGTATGCTGTGCCCCTTACCCAAGTATGTGCCCTTCATTTCATATGAGGTCCGATGATGGTCTGATGAAGTCCGGAGGACTTCCAGAGGCTGGCTACTCTGGTGGAGTGCTAGAGGACTTCCGGAGGAGCATGAGAAACGTCCAGAGGAGCACAGGAGAGTTCTGGAGGAATGCAGGAAGTGCTCAGGAGAGTTCCCACTGCAAGGTAATACTTCTACAGGAAACAGGATGGAAGGATAGGAGGTCCGAGGGTCTGAAGGTCCAGAGGACAGGAGGACAGGAGGACAGGAGGACAGGATGTCTAGAGGTATGAAGGACAGGAGGATGGGATGTCTGAAGGACAGGAGGATAGGATGACAGAGGACAGAAGGACAGGAGGATAGGATGATGGAGGACAGAAGAACAGGAGGATAGGACATCCAAGGGTTAGGAGGACAGGATGTCCGAAGGTACGGAGGGTGGGACATCCAAAGGACAGGACACCCGGAGGTCCAGAAGGAATAGGGGCTACATTGGACAGAGTCTGATGTAGAAACAAACAGAGGTAGACTACCCTAAGGTAGAGTTGGAGAGAACAGGGATTGGACCTAAGTCCAGAAAGAGGGTAAGTGCCAAAAAGGTGGAGCTCTGGCCTAGGGAATCAATCCCTAGGCCTGATGGATAGGACAGACTTAGGTGGACCAAAGTCTGAGAGAAGATTGGGCAAGTAGAGCAAAGTCTAAGATGATAGAACAGGATCTAAGATGATATTCAAACTAAGGAAACTACAGGAGTATCTACAGGGGTTATATACTGGAGACTATCTGAGGGGATCAGTAAGCAAAGGAGCAAGGCTATGTACAAGCATGTGGAAATACATTAGTAAGTAAGATGGAACATAAGTAGATGAACTTGGAGATAAAGACTCATACAAGGATCAATAAGCAAGACAGAAGAAGAGGTAACTGAAAGCCAGAAAGGCAGAGATGTCTAAATGGGGATAGGCGCAGGATATCAGACAGAGGGTGGGAATAGGTCCAGAGTCAATATCCAGAGGTCTGGAGATCTGGGGATCCGGAAGACAAGGTGGATACAGGACTGGGATATGAGAAGGTGGATATAGTCCAGAATCTGAGATGAGGTGAAGTCCAGATGTCTTACTGGATGGAGTGTGCATAGGGTGGATGGGACAGGGGGGTATGGATCAGGCTAGCAGTGGAGATCTGATGGCCTGGAGCCCAGGGATAAATCCGGAGCATAGTTTATCCTGCTAAGGTGTGGAGCACACAGCAGAAGGGGATCTGGGAATGAGTTGGATATGAAATGGGGTCCAGATGTAGGCTTGGAAGGCATGGGAATATGATGGAATGTGGGTCTGGATTGTGGGATATGACAGGTGGTCATGTCACAGATGACATTACAGATTTGTTTGAGTACTTCTGCTGTCTTGAAGGAATGAACTTTTTGAGGGGCAGCTAAAGGTTGTTTGTGACACTGAGAAGTATGTATTAAAAAAATAAAGGCAAGAAACATTGTGGTGAAGAGCTTACCTGATTAACAAGAGCCTTGACATAGTCAATCTTCAGCGTTCTGCCAACTTTCTGGGGCTGTCATATCCACATATCCAGATCTCAGATCCAATCCTTATCTCATCTCAGATCCAATCCACATCTTATCTCCAATCCTATCCACATCTTATCATCCAATCTGTCCACTTGTCCAGTCCAGTCCACAATTCATCTGAATCCACAACCAGTGCTCACCTCCTTTTGGTAATTCCCTAACTCCGGTATTTCAGTTATCTGTATATCCGTCCTGCTCCCTGATCTGTTACCTATGCTTCATTTCCATTTCATTATTTGTGATCCATTTCTACTTACCAATCGACTATCCATATGCTTCGTACATAGCCTCAGACCCTGCTGATTGATCATTCCATTAGATACCTATAGTATATAACCTCCTGTAAATCTCTGTAACACTTCAGTTTAAATATCAACTTAGTTCTGCTCATTCCTGTTCTCCAGACCTGAGTATCTCTACTCTCGTCACCCTCTGAGACTTAGGATTGACTCCTATAGTCTATCTGAATCTGCCTCTGTCTACAACAGTCCACTATCATTAGTTTCTAGTCTGGACTCATCTGGATTAGCCCTACAATACTTATCCTGCATCCAGAAGTCATCCAGATCCACTATGCTACTCATCCAACCCTCCAGATGTGTTAGTCTTGCCCTCCTGAAATAAGGGGCAATACTCAGGTAAGGGGCACAGTGCATGAGCTGAGGCTGAAGCCCTTAGGATCTGTTAGCCCTTGAGTACAACCTTGGCAGGGGCATACAATGCAAAGAATTGCAGGCAAACCTCAATGGTCCTGAATTTTTGTGAGATAGAGAGCTTTTCAGCTTGTCAAAGCATTCCTCCATTTCCTTATCATTGCCAGAACCTATATGAGATATGAGGAGGGTGCAAATCACAGATATCTGTGTTAACTTTTTGGCCATCATTGTCCCGGGAAGAACTTTGCCAAAATCACATGCAAATGCCAGAGAGGGCAATGTCAATGTGATCAACTCTGAGGTTAGACCAAGAAGATTTTGGGTATGGTATTGGACCAAGCCTTCCAATATGCAGTGCATTGGATCAATGACAAGTTGCCAGGAGGGATCCTAGTATGGTAAATGCCAGATTTTTGAATAGTGCACACCATGAGCC